TATCTTGTGATACTATTTCCGCGTACAAATTTATCGTAATTCTCTATTTTATTGACAACTTTTTATCTGGTATATTACAATTAGAACGCAGAATGATTGAAGTTAGATACTTGTTGGTTATATTAGGTATTTGTTCCCCAAGTTTTGTAACGCAATTTGTGTAAAATGCAATGTACCTTTTACGCTGTATTTTCAGCTTCTTACTTTTTACGTGGATTTATGTTGGTTATTAAATATGGTTTTATATATGACAAAGGCGCATTCGTTTATTAAAAATCCTTAAAGGCCTTCACCTCAGTTTGGTCATAAAGTTTAGATGGTGGCTGGACATGAACAAGGAACTGGAAGGGCTGCACATTACGAAATCATGGAGTTCTTAAGTTTCAAACATTCTAGACCTGTTTTACAGAAACCTGCAAGTAAAAAACAAAAGCACATACAGTCTTACATGATTCTTGTTGCCAATAAATACCTTTTTGTTTTACAATACATAAAATACTGTTCACAACACCATTTTATTTGTGCGCAGTACGTAGTCGAGTATCGCTTGTTATCAGAGCCTCTGTTAGGCTTCGCACGGTAGATTCCCGACGGTAATGCGTGTAACGACATTTACCACGGCTTCATACAGCTGCGAACCAATCAACAATACACTTTAAGTCAAGCTCTGTTGCCATCAAACGTTTTCTATTACGTTACCGGTTTGTTTGTGAAATTTTCTTATGTGACTTAAGGTTTAGCACATCTAAAGTTTGTCATGTCGTAGAATTACTTACTTTTTAAGTGTGGGAGAGCCATGCTTCGGCACGAATAGGTCGGCTTGACCAGAGTGATACCACGCACTCAAAGTACACCGGCGTAAACAATTATAGCAGCGTTGTATTTCGCCGTGTGAGTGAGGTTGGCCGAGGCCCAGTTCTTCACATTCTCCAAACCCTTCTCAATCTCCAAATCCCTAAATTCCTAATCCTCAAAAGGTCGGCAACGAACTCGTAACTCCTTGTTTATTGCGGGTGTCCAAAGGTGGAGCTGATATATTGCATACCAGATGGTAAGCAATCTATCTACGCGTTTGCCATCCTATCACATAAAATACTCCTTGGTTACTACTAAAATATAGCTGATTATCTTTATTAGTCGTACATGTACGTTGCAGGCGTAAAAACTTTATCAACAACGTTTAAAATAAACTAACTAATTGTAAGTAAAATAACCACATGAAACTGGTTTGTTAATACCTTGAGTTAATATTGTTTCCTCTTAATGTTGTCATGGGTTGTACTGAAGACAATACACGTGCACTGCGCGAAGGTCACCGTCATGAGCGCAGGCGCACCTGCGTGAATAATTGCCACTCTGCTATCGGTGTGATAGCGCGCCGACGTCGCCTGAAAAACCCGTTAACCGTACCGAGCTTTCGCGATAACTGTAGGCTATGAGCTAATAAAAACTACCAACATTTATACAATAAACTGTCGTCTGTGACAGCCCTAGTAACGTTGGACAAATAATTAGACGTCCCAATTACTGTCACTTTGATTTTCGTTGGAAAGTCATCGTTTGAAATTGACGTGAAGAATTGTTTGTTTATTTTGTTTTTGACATTCAATGTCTTGGTTTGTCTACGTTAACGAAGTATTCATTCAATGTCTAAAAATCTGTACGAATAAAAAAATATTAGACTATAATGTGAAAAAAATAATACTTACTTCTTTATGTTATGGTAATTTAGTTTAGTAAAGACTTATTGGTTGCGTTCGGTATGGTGATAACAGATTCCAACCAAAATGTTAGATTACGTAAACATTTATACATAGTAAAAAGGTGCTCCAGGCTGTAATATAAATGGTGTTCAAGCGGCTATAAGTTAAATGTCATCCCACGCTAGAAGTCTAGTTAGGGCATTTCCTTAGATCGGTCTGTTATTAAGCTAACTGCCTGTCATGGCGCAGCCCTGATCTTTAACCTCTGCCTACACTGGTAAAGCGTTGGACGTGACTGTAGGTATATATATGTATATGTATTGAATGTTTACTCTGTGCATATTTCTATATATACATAAGTATGTATTGAGTGGACAAATACATTGGAACTGTCAATACAATATTTTAGTTTTAATATGTTAAGTCTAAACATTTACCATTATTATTTTAAAAGGCGCATTACCTTGACTCACACTTGTTTAACTAAAGATTAACCAAAAAAATTGTGTTTTTCAGTCGGTCAGTTCCTTAGTTTAGTTATATTATGTGTGTAGTAAAAACGGGATAGTAATAAAAGTTAGTGAATTATTAAGTTTTCAGTAAAATCTATATTTATGAAGCTATCGTGACGTAATACTCTATTTCGGCCCCTCGTTCAACTGGCCCTGTGGCGCAATGGATAACGCGTCTGACTACGGATCAGAAGATTCCAGGTTCGAATCCTGGCAGGGTCGCGGCATATTTTTGTTCAATGTTTTGTTAGTTTACCTTACTTTAGTAATTAGTCGCAACGATCGTGTGACGGCATCGAGTTAATGTTAGCGAACAAACGTACACGAAATCAATTATGTATTGTGTTTTCTATGTACCGTATTCAACTTACTGCTATCGCATCATGGTACAAATTGCTTTGTTAATAACGTCGACATGTTGCTATTGGAGTTTAAACTCTATAGCATAAGCCATAGAGTATGTTTTCGCTTAGTGAAGGTTTGTTGTTGAAGTTCACGTACATTATGTACGCAGCTGACCAAATATTGTAGTTGCGATAATTGGTCGTGATGCAATCGCGTGATCTCGCCGGATCCGACGTGAAATGAAACTTTTTTAGAAAAGTTATTTCTTCTATGTTTTAAACTCTGATTAAGTACCGTTTAGCATACTAGTTAACTTTTAATAGTCACACACAATGGTTTTCTCCGTCGCAAATCCGGCATAATGTTTAAGGATCACTAAAAGTTATTCAGTGTGGTGTTCGAACTCACAACGCGTTATGCATCAGTCGGTTCTCCAGCCATGTGTCAATTGTGCAGCCAATCGACTGTTTTATCACAAATTTAATATTAAAATTTAAGTATATTTCCAAACATTTTTTCGTCCATTCTCACGTCTCATGTAACTAACAAGTAGTAGTTGTATATGTTCTTCTATATTTCATGTTTTTTTTTGTCATTGAACAATTCCCAAAGTCGTGATATCAATATATTTTTTATATGAATAGTTAGTAAAGTCGGTATATAGTTTCCAATTAGTCAAATTCAATACTTTTATCCAAATGCCAAAAAGGATACTTTTCTATGAAATTTGTATGAAAGACTGAGTTATGACGTCATAGTTTTTTGGCTTCAAATAGCATACTTAAAAATTATCTAAAAAATATCTAAAATTCAGTGTATCGATCGATCGATGAATAAAAGTATAGTTATTTTTCAATATTTTATTGTATTGAAACGTCGATTTAATTTATTTTTGACCTAGGACACTACCCAATTATAAATCGTTGCGTAGGCGTTTCGTAGTCCGCTACGGAAATCAAGGAGCGCTCGTAGCATTAAGATTATGTGTCTCTTTTACCCCCATTATCCGTCCATTAATTACTTATAATTTGGATGCGTGAAATTACTTCCCCAAGAAGTAATTTGATATGTTTGATGGATATATATAAATATAACATCACGCTTTTTTACCCTCAATGAGATCAATGATAGATGTCATTGTCTTCAACATTATATAACACCCACCTTTGTGGTGTTTTTTTTTATTAATATGATAAACTCAATAATAATTTGCCCGACACGGGAATTGAACCCAAGAGTTTTGGCTGTCGACTGTGTTGGTTGAAAAATTCTACCTTCGTAGCTTATTGCTACGAAATTAATTAGTGATAAAATAATGTTATACTTATTAATTTTGATAATTTTATTTCCGTAGGATAAGTACTTTTTAGGAGATATCTTGCGAGAATCTGTTTAATGTATTTACCTAATTACTGTTTATCATTATGATATATATTTTAAATCATTCAATTTAAGACTCATTATCGAATGATTAATCAAATGTGTTAGATTTATAAGGTAATAAAGTAGGTAATCAAATATTGAGGAAATAAAAGAGGTTGTATAGAATTAAGTTTTTTTAATTTTTCTTTTTCATTGTACTGGTACTTAATAAAAATCAGTGCACAATTTATAAAACTAAATAATAAAGGATAATGTGGGTGAATATGTTCGTGAAATGCAACCAAAACTGATACTATTTGTGACACAAGTTGTAAGGTTAGCTGCCTGTGCTCGGGTTATATAAAGTGATAGTGAAACAATCACAATTTGTACCTCACATCTACCAACAACGCTTTACTTTGATCATTATTAACGCACCTCAACTAAAACTATAACAGTCTATTTAAAATTATAATACACCATAAGTAATAATTATGTATATAAAGATAATTAAAGCATCTTCACCTTAAAATCGAAATAAAATCATAAAACGTATCAAATCGATAAATTTTCAGTAAAATTTTATATTCATTTACTTTTATTACATACACTATTTACATAATTGTAATGTGCTAAACACAAATCATAAGTTAATAATAGAAAATTTGCGTGAAGCACTCACATAATATATTTTTATTAGAAACAAAATCGCCATGCAAAATCACACTCATGAAGTAATAACTTAAAATAATATAATATACGTGGATCGACTTTCAATCGACCCACTTCTTTGATATAAATGGAAGCATTAGTGTTATAACTAAATGATACATAATAGTGACATTTTCTAAGAAACAAAAAATACATTTTTACATAATTGAAAGACTAACAGCATTTTGTACGTGAAGTGTTCTGAATAGTATTAAGAAACTATTAGTTAGAAAATATATAATCTTTTGACGGACAGGACGTCCATAGGGTGTACCACAAAATCACTCAACATACTTATTTACAAACATGGAAAATTTACATTCATTAGACTACTAACTACCTAGTAAAGCTTTTTACACAAAACATTATAACAAAACAACCCGCGACGCTCCGCGCGCCTCGGCCGATTGCATTGCAATGCTCAAGTCTTCTGCGTGTAATGCCACAAACAATTACATTAAAGTAGTTTACTGATCCTAACGAGATCGTGCATAGGATATCATCTTCGGAGATGATGTTCACTGGAACTGGAGTCGGGCGCTCCCGTGCCGGCCCGGGGCGACCTCCGTCGCCACTCGAGGTATATAAACATTACCATAACTTATATTGTCTCTCTTAACCTAACACCATTTAGCAAGAGGGCCTGTCCAGCTGATTCTGCTTTTCTGGCGTCTGTAACAAAGAAAACAAATACATCAGTACGATATTGCTAAAGGTTTAAAATCGGGGTATTGTTAAAGAGTCAACTTGATTTGAGAACAGAAGGAAAGCCCATGTAATCGCTAGCGAGGGTGCAGCTACCAATGATTGCACAGATGCGCGCGCACATGTACCCCTAACATCTGACATGTTCGCCGCGTAATAATTATGATATGAAAACTAAAGCTTGTTTAGTAAACTTATTAAAATGTAAGTGATAGGAACAATTTTTATTTATTACGGCCAATAAAGTCTCCCTCGTCGTTTTAGTGTTATTAGTGATTGCGACAAATAGTATCGTGTGGCACATGCCCATCCCGCGCCCGCCCGCGTCCGGCCATCTGTCACCACATATGCGCTCATTTCAACAATGTTTTAATTCATTATTGCCTGGACAATGCGCCTCCTGTTATTTGTTTGTTCTTATATAACAAGATGATCAAAAATAATTTGACTGGCTAAAACTGAGACTAGGAAGATACAGAGCATTTTTGCTTGGTTAGTGAGATTTTTCCCAGCATATGGAGGACGGTGGCAATTTCAGTGTGACTTTCCGAGTATCAGCGAGTGTTAGATTACGGCTTCCCGTCCGTGCACATCCGCGACACAGCTGAACGGCCGCACGTGGCCACACCCTATTTACGGACACATACCGAAGGGAGAGCACACATGTCCTGAACGGATCGGGACATTGCGAGTGCGCACACGTGAAATCCCTTTATGAGACGAGTATTGTCGGTGGGATAATGAATAGGTATGCTCAGTGCTCGTCGCATTTATTTAGCTATCCGGCCACCGGCGCCGTCACGTGTGTTCACACGCAGCTGCGAGCGACCGTTACCCGCACAATGCCCTCGATCGATCCGTCGTCGATGGAATCCAAGTGATCGGCGAAATCGCTGCACGTGTGCAGGCGAGACATTTCGCGGTGAAGTTGCATTGTCTACTTGCCGACGCAGTGCGGTTTATTAGTTCGGAGAAGCGTAAAGGTGCTCGTAAAACTTTCACGTGCGCGATTTATGCGCGAGGTGCGCGGAGACAAAGATATTCAGAGGAGCGGGAGAGCGTGGGCGTGCAGCCGCGGACACCTGGCGGCTCGTTAGTGTCGCCTGTCGGATGGACCGGCCTGCCTGCGTGGGCGACCGACGCGCCGCCTGCTGCTCACATATCGTTTACCTCGTAGTACCACACCGAGAACACTCTTGTTCGCACATAATGCAATTACTATTTACTTGCTTTAAATTGGCTTAAGGCGCAAGACAAATATTAATGTCCGATCGCTTAGTTCGTGTCGATTAACAGCGGGGGTCCTTAAATTGGTAACGAAAGGCAACATGCGGGCCAGTAATTGGATGATTAAGTGATATTGACAAACTATACTTTGTAGACTAGTGCCTTTCTCTTGGTAAACGATTGGGAACGAATCATTCATAATGTGTTCCTCTATGAATTTTGTATCTGATATGATTATTATGAATGGGGTTGCTCCCTTTATGTGAATCAAAGAGGGGGTGCCACCACAGCGGATTACACGCCTAACAATCGTCATTACGGTACTTAGCAGCTTATTATGGTTGAAGTGTAAAGTCAAACAAGAACAAAAGGGCAAATAGGGTAACTTGTTCGATACGACACTAAGTTAGAAATTGATAATGAAGGTGATTTTAGAGAGCAGTATCAAAGAGCAGAGTGGATTGATCTCACGGCCTTTCGAACGCGCCGAGCAGCTGCAGGCTACAATTACGGTCGTCGTGGTAGAACGTGGCGTATGCTCGTGACCGGAGGTTTGTGGCACACGGCACACGATGGCCCGCGAGATACCGTCGTGAAATGCCGCCTCACGACCACCACGATGGAGATACAAATACCAGCACGATCGCTCCGAGCCGCGCTATTCTTTCTATGCGTTCTGAACTACAAATTACTTGTTTTAGGAAACGATGATCGAGTTTTTCGAGATGAATGTCCTTGTGCGAATGTATATTCTACATTTTGTATTCAAGAATGCGGTCATATTAGTCGACATTCCATTAATATTGTAGGCGGTATATTAGTAAATATCTGGGGATATCGCGATACTGCCGGCGCCCGACACTAATTAGTACATTTTTGTTGTTTCCTTGTCGTTGCTACGTGGTCCATGCTACACAACTATTGTAGTTGTTTTTAAAGGATTAAAGATAATAAGATGGTTTTAGTGACATCTCTGCAATCTGTTATACTCAAGAGAAATACATCTCGGAATGGTAAAAAAAATCACGAAGTATTGCGCAGTATAATGACTTATGACGTAAACGTGGTTTTATACATTAGGCACGCCATTATATGGTTGCTCCAGCGTAAGACTCAAGTGTCGTTTGTCATGAGTGAGCTATACATTAGGTACTAAACCATTGCTCACGTTACATCTAAATATATTTTAAAATTGTAGTGCATTTGTCGTCTTCTACGAGACACTTGCGTCGCTGTAAATACAGCAGGCACGTTGCGTCTCTTAAATCACGCTTGTTTTGAACATTTCCCTCGGTTCCAACTACTGGCAGTGATTAAAATTTACGTGGCGCGACCAAGTATTAACGAGCGCGCAATGCGCCTGGGGCTCGTAATCGCAAAGCGCACGAATAAATCCTGCGAGATGCACCTGCCGCGTGCCGCGCCTCGCGACCAGACAACAGCGCTCACTGCGACTTGCAGCATTTTAGTAGTCGTACAGCGAGTCGCCGACCAGCATCTAATTGCGTACCCACAGACGTTAGCGACGGCAGCTTTGTTAATGCTCTGTCACGGTAAATGGGAATGACGAAATGGCAATCACACACAGGTGTCAGGCGGAATGTTAAACGACCAAGATAAATATGTGTTGAATATTCAGATTGTGTGTCAGTACACGGTCGTTTACGCGGCGCCGGCGCAGGTGGCCGCGCTTCAAGGCTGAAATTCAAAACAGCAGTCACGCATGCGTGAACAGTGGTTTACACTGAGACTGCTTATTTACCGAAACTATGATTTCATAATGAAACACAGATGATCAGTAAGCCGCGATGTTTATTTACGATCTTATTTGAAAATAGATAATTAAGGCCGCAATAAATATTCTCAGGCGATTGAAGATAGTTTACGAGACGACAGGTTTACTGACGATTTAACAATCGATATTTTGGCATGCCTAACAGCTTCTAATGGTGCACAGTGTCACCTACAGGTATTGATGGAGGTTTGCAATAGTGTCTGTAATGGTGATGCGTGCCGGTGTGTTGTGAAACTCTGCATCTCCGCTTTTACCTTCCCGCGCTTGCGAAACACGCAGGTGCGCGCGCGCCGCAAAAGCACCGACACGACCGATTTCATTTACTTTTTATGCAATCGTAGGTATCTCTCGTACTAACTAGTGCACAGCTACATTATCTCTATTACTCAAAGCCGCTAATAGCCGCAGCGCGTGATGTTTCGTTTAGCTGCATTTGTTATTGTGAGTTAACTTTCTACTTTGGTAAACAATTATTAAGTTAAAGTATTAGACTGTTAGTCGTTTGTTGCAATAAACGTTAGTTCAATGTAATTGGCTATTGTTCATTTGGCGAGTCTATTTACTACTTATTAGCTTATTTTATTTGTACAAAATGCAAATGATGGAATACTTTAGCGACTACATGGTAAGATAAATACAGTTCGTCGTATGGGTTTATACCTAGCAGTAAGAGAGGAGTGGAAATAGAAACTTACAGTTGGTGTTCTGTGTTCTTGACTGGGGGTGGTTTTGCGCAGGATGGTGTTGGGCGCGGCGCGGGGTCCGAGAGGGCGCCGGTGGGGGCGAGGCTGTGGCGCCGCGCAAGCCGGGCTGGCCAGCGCGCCTTCTGCGTCAAACTGCTCCATGGCGGGATGGTTCTCCAGCGCCGACTGTAGGTCGCAGATGTAGTCGATCACGTGCTGAATCACCTCCAGCTTGGAGATCTTTCTGTTCTTGGGCATGAACGGCACCAGGTCCTGTAGTTTAGACAGGTACATCTGGATCTCGGCGTTCTCGCCGTCTCGGTGCCGCTGCACACGGCCGCTGGCGATGGCGGGCACGGAGGCGCCGGTCGCGCACACTGCTGTTATCGCTTTCATATTTGTGACTGTCACTTAACACGAACACTGGGTCGGAACTAAACACGAGCGCGTACGTGCGTCGGGCGCGGGTTGCGAGCGAGGAATGAGGAGATGCGCGTAGCGGGCTAGTATTTATGGGCGCTGGTGGGGCGCGGGGCGGCGCCGGGCGGTCCAATGGGCGCGCGGGGCGGGGGCGGGGGCGGCGAAGCCTGATTTTTCCCATGGCGGGCGGTGGGCGCCGCGTCTGCCGCGCTGGGCGGCCCTGAGTAAGGCCGTTGCGCTCGTGACATGCACTATGTCCTGTCTGTAATCTTGTTTATTTCTGGGTTCTTAATTATTGCTATGTTTGTTTGTTTAACTTATACTCTACGTGTGTTATGTAACATTGATATTTGGTAGAGCCTTTTAACAAAGCAGAATTAAATACATCACCAGTAACGATTTATCAAAATAAATGATCAATTACTTATTTATGGAACTGTGGCTTACTTAAGATGTAGGTTTGGTTTTTATTTATTCAAGTAGTACATTCATTAATGATCCTATAGGTACTTCTGATTATTTGTAACACAAATCACAAAAATACTTTAAAGCTAAGCGTATCTACCAATTACGCATTTTGACTTTAGACAAGTTACCTATGTATGAAGCTAAACGGTAGGAGGGGGTGTTTATGGTTGCGAGACGATATGAGACGTGGGGGAGAGGGGAGTAGGCTGCAGGGGTGACGAACAATAGGTGAACGTGAAGGCATCCACTTGTCGCGCTCCCACGGCGACAGGTCCAGGAGGCTGCGCCTGCGCAGAAAAAAAGCACCTTTGAGATTTGAAACCTTTATTCATTTTAATTTAAATTGTAGAAACATTAATCTTTGTTATTTAAACATATTTGTTCTTTAATATATTGGTTAAGAAGTAAAGTGTTAACATTTCAATTTAACAGTGTCATTTTTTCTTAGATTTTATCTCATTGAATGTCATATTGCATATTTTTTAATAATATCTTGATTAAACTCGTTGTGTTTACTTAAAAAGACAAATATCTAAAGCCTCAAAATAAGTATTCGATAATGCCCTCCACAATAAAATTGATGGTCAATAACTTAAATATGTGTAGGTACAACTTATTTTTTTAATATAATTCAGATCCGGCTCGACTGCTCACTAAAACACACCGGCGAATTAATCAAAACAGTTTTAATCTAGCTATAGCGTATTAAAACTCCATTTGCCAAATAAATTTATTAGTAAAAAAAGTAATAAGCGTGCAATACAACTTTTTTGTACGTATTATGTTTGAAATAGTAGATATCTAAATTAAGTTTAGAATAATTTAGGGTATTTCATCTATAAATGGACAACCGTTAGACGTATCTCTTTGAACCTATAAACAATGAAAAAGTTTTTGCGTACGTTGATAGCTTTCAGTAACAAGTCGTAGAAACAAAATGTATCTAACATGTAGATAACCATACCTACTCTTAAAATAACAATGTTACGATAAAAAATGGATTCGATTCTTTATGATACACATCGATCATCAAAAATATAAAAAACATGTTTTTTTCCAGAATTCACTAATAAAATAAAACAGAGACCGTCCACATTAGTTTACGTCGAACTATTTCACCCACCGTGACACCGTGACATCGTGATTTTTTACTGAAATTGATGACTTGAAGCCGAAATTGTCACAGACCTGACGTAAAATTAAAGTAATGGACTAAGATTTATGTTTTACTACAAATTAATCAACTTACGGCGCTTCTAATGGCTTTGGTATTTATATAATTGCTTTATCGTTTGACCACACAGAGGTCCAAATCGCAAAATAGTGGTCATAAAAAACGAGGCGGCAAAAAGTCACGAGTCACCTTGAAGGCGGGAGTAAGGAACTCAGGTAGTGAATTGCTTCATTTTGAGTTATTTGGACCAGCGTTTAACGTTATAATGTGATTCGATAAATTGGAACGTACGCGGGGACGTGACGAACAGTAAATGTATTGTTGGGAAGCTGATGTCCGTTGGAACGAGACTCGTTTGTTACGGAAGTGTTCAAAAGATGAACTTTATTTTTATTTAATTTTAGTAAGATGAATGTCTGAGCCGTGTTACAATACAATACGACCAAATTGAGCAATTATGGATTTGTTTGCGTATTCTATTGTGTAACGTTCAGTTTCTGCAATCCAAAGTGTTCTATCAATCGACCACGCCTTATCATTTTAAATAAATTAAGTATATATTATAACCATATTAAGTAATGAACCGATAATATGTGTAATAAAAACAATTTGTGTAAAGATAATCTATTGCATCCAGACGTGTCGACACGGCTACCTGTGAAATTAGTTGTCGCGACGAAGAAATTTATTTGTGTCGATGGACGTATTGTGTCCTCACGTTCCGCACTATTGTCCACTGGGCGATGGTCATTTCGCGTGTTGCTACACTCGGCACCTCGCCGTGCAATTGACTGAATATTGTTTTACATCCACAGGTATCTTAGTAGGATTAACAAAAAAAGTGTAAAGAAAAAATTTGTGACAAGGTTAGTTTCGATTCCGAGCTTTTGGGTTCCACCGGCTTAGTCCTTTTTTAATGCGGTATTTTTGTTTTTCCTATTAAAATAGTTGCTTCTGTTTTACGTGTCTTGCCTTCTTTTTAAATGAAATCTTAAGTGGTGCGAAATACTTAAATCGTAAACAATTTTGTTCAGTTTAAAAGCATTAGTAGGTACCGTTATTTCAATCATTATAAAAATGTGAGGATGATAAATGCACGAGTGGTTTTTGATTGTATACTTAAATACGGAACCCAAAATGTTGAGACGATGAAAAAATAGTACAAGAGTAGACGGGCATAAACACCTCGAGTCCGAAACGATGACAATGCGTAAAATGTTTTTATGACTGCGTAAATATTAAGTGTCCAACAAAAAAATATTCGTCAACAGCCTTTGTTTGCAGGTGTCGCGTATTCTCATGAACCGCTTTTAAATGGTACAAGTGTGAAATTAGTCAAAGGAAATGCACGGTCCTATAATGATGTTAGAGAACTATTTTTGCTTTAAAAACTAACCAATGATGGCGATACAAAAGCTATTTGTGCTTACAGGTTTATCTATAGATTGAGAAAACAAATATTCTATTCAGGTGGTTAGGATACTGTTGATGTTTACCTCCCGGTAAGTTTCTCATGGTACAGCACGTTTATGTTTCAACTTTCAAGATTCAGTAAAGAAAAGAATGATGGCCAACGTCATTTATGTCAATATTACTTAGCTAGTTAGGGAGACGTTCATAAAGCCTTTGACAAATGAAAAAGTACCTTTCGACGGCGAATGAATATAAGAAGAAAAATAAATACGTAGGCCAATCATAGAAATTGATGATTCGTTCTGTACCTAAATAAAACACCCTATTAATGAGATATATTGTCCCGACATATTAATGTAAAAAAATGTAAGTACTTGAGCCTTTTAAATTCAGACATCAACATTAAGACGGTAGTATTTATACTTACTTATCGTTGATACATTAAAATGATTGTACACTAAAGCTCCTATGACTATAGTGATTGTTTTTAATTAAATACATAGTAGATATACGTGCAAGAAAATAATAGAAACCTTGGATGGAGATCTGTAGCTCCAATAATTGTTAGATAAATAATTTATAACGAAATCATTAAATAGAAGATTTTAAAGTTACTACCTCAACTTGTGCATTCCGTTTATTAGATTTCTTTGTTCATATTGTATGAAGTATTTCCATTAAGGTCTGTGCATTAGGTCGGGGTGGAGCGTTTACCCTCGCGCGTGTCGTGGGAGTGCCGGACGCGTGCCGCTCCCATCACGCGATACACCCCGATCCGACTGATCAGTGTTATTTGTTACAATATTGCTTATATTACTCCGCGCATTGTGTATTCGCGGTTAAGTGTTGTTCAAAACAATAGTTTCGAGCGCTTTATAAGACCCATTTGTTTATGTTCAAAAGCAGGGGTGCGTTGAAATTGTTTATCATTAAATTCGCATGTCGTTCAATTATGTTTTACAGCCCTCATAATGTAAATAATCTGAGTAATTAACAACACGTAAGGATTAAACTTTTTTGATCACTTGTTGTTAGGTACTAACATACTGCATTCTTAATTAGAAATAGTAAGTTACATCTATGTGTGGTATCATTAGATAAATTGCAAAGAACGAAACTCAATATCGTAGCCAGCGGCCATAATCAACCCTCTAACAATATTGGCTAGCCGTTATTGTTCCTCAGCGTGTACTTATTGACAGAACAAACAGTTCGATTCGTGTGATACCCTCCGCTCCCACGGGAGGGCGCGAGAAATCCCTTAATTCGGACAGTGCAGGTGCGGGCTCATTACGCGCTTTTCCGGCACGTGGCGGCGCGTGTACTGTGCACATATCGACTTTACTTTTAGGTCGAATGCCTTGCACGCACTTAGAATATTACTTTGATCGACATAGATTAATTAAACCCTATGTATTGGCGCCCGTTATGTAGTATTGTTGAGTTGTTGTTTACTTACTTTCTATTGGGTTCCAGAGCAATTTTGAAGCTGTGTTAAGTGTGGTTTGTTTGAAAGCATTACCTAAATGATCTATCGCCTGAGGTACCTTCTAAACATACCTATCAACTAAAAATATCTTTTGCAATCTACCACCAACCACGCATTGTTACATACAGACCTGTTATTACCGACCATGAAAGTGATGTTTCGAAGTATTTCAAGCATTTCATTTTACTGCAGTGACCCTTAGTTCTCACGTTGCGTTAACTGAAGCCTCAAAAATCCGAATAAGGATGGAAAATTCAAAGTTCCGATGGGAAGCGGTGATTTCTCGTGTGAACTGCGTGGCGTGGGAAGGTTGTTCGGCTGGCCCGGGTGGCTGGGGTCACAGGTCGGGATAATTACGAGCGAAGCCGAGCGCTCGTCGGCGCGCGCGCATCTCTACGGGGTGCGACTCGCCACCGCCTGATATGGCGTGATTGCAACATTCATTAAGTATTGTTTGATTTTGTTTCATGTGAAGGGCTAGATTCACTCACGGTAGAAATTATGGAGGA